AACTCCCCTATCTCATACTCATTCCAACATCAAGTTCATAATTTTCCAATTTGCTGGCTTCCATTAATATGCTTGAAGACTTGAAGTTCATCTGCTTGCCGTTTTTCAGTAAACATGGCTTCCTCCAGACTTATCAAACTTTTCCGCAAACCAGATACTTCCTTGTCTAAATCAACAATTCTCTTGTTCTTCTCTTCAATCTCTAGCTCTGTCATATGTTTGGCCTTTTTCAAATCTTCGGTAAGCTTTTCAATTGTAACCAGATTTTCTACTACTTCTGAGAACAATATAAATGCACTTGTCAAGTCTTGCTCTAATGACGAGCCATTACGTGGAGTTTTTTTATGTTCTCATATTTCTCATTTATAACCTTGAAAATCCTGTCTTTCTCTAGTCCAATAGCTTTTCTCTCCATCCTCGTGATATCATTTTTGATATTTTCTATGTAGTTATCCTTTCCTTCGCATTTCTTATAAGGGTTCTTACTGTTTTGTGTGAAAAATTACACTCTTGAATGTTTAATCATAATGCAGAATTTTGGTACGTAATTATTCAAGAGTAGAGAAAAATTAATATAATGGGCTTGAGAAGTTGGGAAGGTCAATGATTTTGTTATTGTGATGTTACGATTATTGAATTAGGGCAAGGAAGTAATTCTCTTTTTCCTAAGAGACAAGTTTATAATTTTAGATATATATTAGAGGTTAGTTTAGGAATAATAGTAGGTGAGAAAATAATATTTTAATTTTTTAACTTTTTATGGTGGGTGAGATTATAACTGGAAAATAAGACAATGAGGTGGGTCTAGCAACTCTCAACTTATATTAAATAAGGACTAAAATGACCAAAACACCTTTTATTTAATAAACAATATGCCAAAATGATTTGACAAAAGTTGACAGTATTTTTGTCATTTTTTCCATATATAACGGAGATTTTTCTCAAAATGGCCAAAATAATTAACGGTGGACAAATTCAGGGACCAGGTCTATCGATTTAAAATCTCAATGATCAAACTAAGGAATTATACCAATATTTAAGACCATTTTAATTAAAAAGTCTTCCAAATTAGTGTGGTCCAAATACAGAATGAGACCTAACGCCTATAAGGTTCCTTTTTTATTTAGAGTAATTTCTAATTTTTTATAAATAAATAAAAATTAGCCCCATAAAATTGGAATGCTTGACATACTTTTACATTTAAGTGAGTTTCACACTCAAAAATCTGGCCTACCTCGACTAGAAAGTGTGTTAGCATGTATCAATTGTGTCCAACTATAATTGTTTAAGCTATATTTTAAGGATTTCTTTTTTCTTAGGCTATAATGTACAATTGGGATCTCGTGACTCTACATTTAGCCTCAGTGCATTAACATTCATTTAACATAATCTTAAGTAGAGACTCCAGAAATGGTTATGATTAATTTTGTTAAATGCAAGTAAATGTATAGAAGTTAATGTAGACACTTGAGATCTGTACAGTTGAATACTTGAAGACCATGCGTATTTTTAATTACATACTTTGTGATAAAATCTCATACCTACTAAACTAATAGATAACAAAGTAAAAAGTCACACATCATTACATTAAACTTTGAGTGATTTAATTTCTACTTGCACATGGATTTTTTATGATAAATTTTACAACCGCAAAGCTAGCAGGTAGTATATAAATAGGGAACATGACAGCAATTGACCCTTTAGGGTGTGTTTGTTTCACCTTCTTAAGTGGGACTGGACTAGCTAGGATTATTGTCCCATGTTTGGTATGCTTAGGGACTAACTTAAGTGAGACTAGCCCGGATTCGTGTGGACTCCGAGCCTCCTTAGATCGTCCAAATTAGTCCCGCGTTGAACCATGGGATTGCTAAGAACGCCTTCCTCCTTTGCTGTTCCTCAACTCTCTGTCTTTCTCTCTCCCACTCCTAACTGGATCGAGCTCGTCAAAAAATTTATCGCCATTCCTCCTTCTTCATTTTGCTCTGCAGTTGTCGCCTACATTGAGCCTTCCTCCCCAAATCCCCACCATCGTCAACAAGCAGCCCTCTCTCCCAGGTTGTCTCTCTCCTCTACTTCATGGTGAAGCCTTCACCATCATGAAAATCAGAAACCGAATATAGGAGGAGCTTTCCAGCGACCTTCACAAAGCCAAATATCCGAGAAGTCGTTAACATTGGATTCGAACTATTGGGAAAAACTGCAGGGAAAAATGAAGAAGAATGAGGGCTCGGAGGATCCGGTGGGATTGGGTCCTGAGAGGATCCTCTCCCAAACCTGAGTGTGAGAGGAGCACCAGCAATTAATTGGATCTTTTTAGGGTATTTTTTATTTGTAATAATCAAAATTTTCTCTTTGTTATTGGAAATTTGGATCTCTGTTTTTTGGGTTTTGACTGGGTTAGCTTTGTTATTAAAAATTTGATAATTCTCTAAGTTGCAGCACCTGCAATTCGTGAGGAAGAAGAAGCAGAGGGATATGCCCTTTTATTTTTCCATATATTCATTTTAATATTTTAATAGAAAATAAATTGAATATAATAATAATTTATTGTTAGTCCAGTTTCTTAGTCTGACACTGCACCAAACGCTTCACTAAACTAGTCCAGCTTAGTCTAGTCTAAGCCAGTCCAGCTTAGTCCTTGAAGCTAGTCCAGTCCGAGATAGTCTGGTGCAACAAACGCACCCTTAAAGTTCCTCCTCCAAAATACAAACATATATCATTGTTTTTACGTTGATGGTGGCAGTTGAATTTTCACAAACTAATTGATTGCGGTCCATACAGTCGGTGCAAGGGATAAAGTGTCCAAGAAGTGTCCATGGTAATATGAGATGCTCATGCATGTGCTTGACTCGAATAATTTTCTGCAGTACAATCTATTGCATACCACTAAAAATCTATCCCTAATTCATCTTTATCGGTTCAAATTGATCTAGGAAATATACAGTACAAAAACCTCATTATCAACAGCAAGTATTAGTTCGAGTAGGAAGCCGAGAACTGAAAAATTAAGGATAATACTTGCATTGTTTTATGGGAGAATGCACATATCTCATTTATTTTGGAAAATAATATTATATTCATCATATAAACTTCATAATTTGAGTATTCAATTGCATAAATCTTCATTTGAAGATCTTTTCAACAAAAAATCATTTAAATCAGAGATCATATAGTCGTCCAAATTCTTAGAATACAAGGATCATAAGCAATATCCAATTCGCATGATTTTAGAATAGATGATTTTCAAATGAAGATTAAGAATGTAACATTTTCGATTATTGAATTTATATAATAAAGATATGTTATTAGTAAGGAAACAAACCCAAAAGTGTAGCCTATTACAAAAGTAAAATAAGGAAACAAACCCCAAAAGTGAGTCCATAAGAATCCTGAGATGAAAACTCTAGCTCTAGAAACAAGAACCAGCCTTCTCCACCAAAATAGATGGACCACCATTACCAAGTCACCGGGAAAAAGAATTAACCAACCGAAAGGATTAACAAATGGAGGTGGACAAGCCACCTGCGCTTAAAGAGCTCCCGTAATCCTACCAAATAGTGCCAATTGCACTTTAATAGCCACGAAATCCAAAGCATACCTCCTCTAACCGAAGTCCATGGAGGAAGAACTTGAGGAGCCAATAGTCGAACCATGTGTGCAGTAGCTCGCGGCTAGAAACATCAATTTGGAAAGGGAAAAAAAAAGACATGAAACTCTAATCAACGACAAGATTTGCCAATAATTGAGACAAAACCAAGAAAATGAGACAAGCTCACAGCAAAACTACCCGAAATCAATGGCCAAGAAAAAGAAAAAGGAGAAGTTGGGGGTTAGGAAAGAAGGAGGAGGGGACTATGGAAGGAGATGGGGTTGCCACCATCGTCCCCGCCCAAAAGGAAGGGGTGGCGGCTAAAGGTGGTAGCAGAGTCAAGATTTTCAAATAATGGAGTCATAAAATAAAATAAAATAAACTTTATTGGGCCATTTCGCCGAGCACTTAGTAGGCACCTGCCAATTCTTGCCAACATATGTCAACAAATACCATTATTTGTAGAGGCTTGTCGACATTAGATGCAGAATACTTTGGAGTTATGTTGAAGACTATCAAGGTTTGTCAACTAAAGTATTTCATCAAGCACATGGTGCGTACAATAGAGTCACACACAAAAAAAGAGAAAATGATGACAAATAAGATAGAAGAAAGTAGAAGAAGTAGGAGAAGGTTGTAATCTAGTTTGCCTAACTATTTATAGGTGTCAAATACAATACACAAACAAATATACATGAGATTTTAAAATTATTAAGGTTAAGAACGACCAGTAACCCCATGCTATACCTCCGCATTGTGTTTGGGGGCTTTGACTTTGGAAGAGAGAGACCAGCGTTAGGGTTGGAGGAGAACAATTAAATAACTGTATCGTGGTACATGTCTCTTTTCATGGACTAGTCACTAAACAGCGACCACCCATCTTAAAATCCACCTCAAATTACAACTCTTTTCCCTTCCAACATTTGGGAGTCTCCTGTTCAGAGATCAGTTATTAACCGACTGATAACTCATGAATAGTTAGAATCAAGAGACGGTTTATTAGTTATTTATTAGTTTATGAATTGAGCAACAGATTTTTTTTTCCCCTTAACTAAAAGGAAAAATACAATCTGTTGCTTTTTGAAATCAATCTTGTTGTGTTGGTGGGAGTCTGGTAATTTGGTGGCCATGCAAAAGCAGATGAATGCATGGAGAAGAAGTAGCGCCCTACAATGGTGGAAGTGAAGGGCCACAATGTTTAAACATGTACCTTAAACATAGGGAATTAGTCATGCACACACAAAGCGTATCACCATTTTTAGGCAAACCAACTAATTAAAACAATTCTTAAAAAGAAAAACTAATTAATCTAACCGTCACCGTAGAGTTCGAGCCTCCCCGCGCAGATCGCAGCGGAGGGTAATTAACAATTTTTTTAGGTAGTATAAATACAGGCATTCAAAGAGAATTAATTTCATCCCCCACTTTAATTGTCAAGTCTCTCCCCGGAGACCTGTTATGTAATCTGGGAAAAAAAGTAGGTAAATTTCTTTACATCATATTTTAGCTAGCTATCTTGTAGAGTTGTAAGGGGGGGGGTCATGGCCATTGCTGGAGGAATGTCTTGCCACGCCATTCTTGTCTTGTGCTTAGCTGCATTGGCCTCTCGAGCCACCGGCAGGGTTGCCATTCCCCCGGCTGTGTTCGATGTTTTCCGTGGTAGTAATTTGGGTGTCCATGACAAAGCTGATCCTGATGAGAAGATCTTTAACGTGGTAGATTTCGGCGCCAAGCCTGATGGGAACCATGATGCAAGCATGGTATACAAATTTGATAACCCTAACATTATTTGTATTGCATAAATGTGTGGTCCATATACACATTCTGACAACGACGGTGCATAACTCACAATACTAATTCATTTTGGGTCTGACAAATTGAGTTTGTATAATTATTTGCAGAATTTCATAAAAACATGGCTTGCAGCATGCCACAACACTGGGAAATCAAGGGTTCTGATCCCACCGGGGACATACAAGAGTGGGCCAGTGGTATTTCAGGGGCCATGCACCAGTTCCAAACCCGTAGTTGTTCAAGTTTTAGGGACCATAAAAGGCCTGAATGATCTGTCCTTATATGAAGAGCCATACTGGTTCTTGTTTGAGAATGTAGAAGGCTTGGTCATTATCGGCAATGGCATCTTTGACGGACAAGGTTCAAGTGCCTGGAAAGTCGCTGGTGACTGCGGCAGTTCCAGCGATGGTTGCAGTCCACTCCCATCTGTAAGTGCTACATTAAGTTACCAACTAGTTAGAGCTCTTATTTATGTAATTCATAAATCATAATTTATAAGAAAGAAAACTGGCTTTAATTATTGGATTAATTAATGCAGAACATCAAATTCAACGGCGTTAGAGACGGGGTCATTCGAGGCATTAGTTCCCTCAATAGCAAAGGAGTTCATCTTTTCATCACTGACAGCCAGAATGTTAGGGTTCGCAGAGTGAATATCTCTGCCCCTCGAACAAGCCCCAACACTGATGGCATCCACATCAGCAACTCCAACAATGTCAAGGTCGCCAGAACTCACATTGCCACCGGTGATGATTGCATTGGCATGATTCAGGGATCAACCAACATTGCCATCAACAATGTAATTTGTGGCCCCGGACACGGCATTAGGTATAATTTGAGTCTTTATTATTTATACTCTTCTGCTATAAATCTATATGTTATGTTACCATAAATTTAGACTATGGATTCATTTGAAAGAGAGTTAATTAATGGTTAAATTAACAGCCTGCTAACATAATAAATTATTCCGCTACCATGCCTTATATACCACCCTAGGATCCTTCATAAATGTTCATGGACTAATTGTGTCCCCATTTTGTTGATGACAGTGTTGGTAGCCTTGGCAAGTATGAGCACGAAAATGACGTGACAGGAATCACCGTGAAGAAGACCACATTTTTGAACACAGACAATGGGATTAGAATCAAGTCATGGCCAGGATCGGGTCCTAGTCGGGCATCAGGAATGGTTTTCAAGGACATCATCATGCAGAATGTTAGGAACCCTATTATAATTGACCAAGAGTACTGCACTGGGGGATGCAACAAGAACCAGGTTTGTTAACCTAGTTGATCCTATAACCGTATATAATTACTTTTTCATCTGGTACGACCGATAAATGATATCGAACTCTTGAATTATCCTAATCCTAACCTTCTTTTACCGACTTTCTTCAACATTGTGCAGCCATCGCACGTGCAGATCAGCGATGTCCACTACATAAACATTAGAGGGACAACACCGTCAAATGTGGCAGTAGATTTCATTTGCAGCAGCCAGGTTCCTTGCCAAAACATTCAGCTTCACGACATCGATTTGAAGTATACTGGTCCAAATGCTGCAGCTCTCACCAACGTATGTAAAAATGTAAAAGCTGGTTTTCGTGGCATACAAAACCCACCAGCCTGCCACTGAGAATTGAGTTCCCGCAGTTGATCAAGACACCCTCAGCCTGTCCTGCTTAACTAACTACTTATATTTTTATCATCGTTACTGGAAGGGTAGGGGAATAAGGAGAGGAGAGCATTTGGTGTCTCTGGGAATGGAATGATGCATGTACTAAAAGTTACAATTTTTGTGGCATCAGTGGCATATTGTGCTTTGATGGCCAGCGGGACCGTGGCCCCTCCCAAAACTTTACAAATAATATTAAGTAATTTTCCATTATGCTAATTATGTTTTACTTTTTCATCGAGCTGTTTAATTCATCTAAAATGACTTTGTAGACATTGAAATTTCGGTGGCATAAATGTTAGCCATTGCATTAAGATTACATTTGTAAACATTGAAATTTTAGTGTAATAAATGTTGACCATTGTATTAAAATTACAACATTCATTCACTTCACCTACAACATCCACCCAAGTTTCACCTACAACACCCACCAAAATTCACCTACAACATCCACCAAAACAAATGGATGGTGGTGATTCATTCCCAAAGCCTATAAATAGGCTCTTCCATCAAAGAATCAAGGGAGGATTTTGGCATACACTTTCTCTACTCCCAAATTGGAAGAGAATTCACACCACACCAAAGCCTTGAAGCCTCGAAACTCTGAAGCTCTCAAGCAAATCCCGAAGGATCAAGAAAGCCCTCTTCGTTCTTCGTGAAATCCTCCTTCAAGATCAAGCCCTAACGCCCCCCTTGAAGAACTTCCACCAATTCAAGATCAAGCCCCGACGGCCCTTGAAGAAGGTGTTCATCATTCATCAACTGTTCGTCCAAGATCAAGCCTCGACGGCCCTTGGATCAACAACACTACATCTACACGTTTCAAAGATAGAATCAGAGGATAAATTTGTAGAAGAGATTGTAACCCCTAAATCATTAATACAAATATTATTTTGTACACGTGTTCTTGTCTCATTCATCGCAGGAATTTCCGTGTTTACAAATTTGGCACGCCCAGTGGGACAGTCTCTAGCTCTCATCTCTATCTTTGAATCCGCAACAAGCACAAATGGCGTCAAGGAAGGCCCAAGTTGTTATCGCTGCCAATGCAAGAAACAAGAGCGTCATCACGACAGGGGGTGTCACTTCAGGCATCAACTCGAAGCAAGGCAAAAGCTCTTTCTGCCGCCTCTTCCGCCCCTGCATCAACTCCGCCGAAGGCACAAGAGCACCCGAGGCACAAATCAGTGATCACCCTGGCCTCGCTCAGGGCGCCAAGAGAGGAAAGCCAGAGGAAGTACTCTGAATTCTTACTTTCTGATGCCGACTCAAGCAGCGGCATAGCCATGCAAGTCATGGTTGCTGAAGCGACTTCAATTGAGGAGCAGCTGGCTCAGATGAGTGAAACAATCGCAAAACTCACAAGGACTGTGGAGGACAAAGACCTGCAAATCGCAGCACTCGTTAACCAACTAGATGCAAAGCCCGATGAGAAAGTCAGGCAAGGGGATAATCCAGTAAAGAGGGAAAACGACGAGGATGAGGAACCTCCAGTGGAGAACGTCGAAGAGACGCTGAAGCCAAACCAAGCGGCGACACTCATGGGGCCTCTCTCTATCCAGCAGCTGCAGGAGATGATCGCCAACACCATCAATGCGCAGTATGAAGGAAGCTCACATGATTCCGTACTATACTCAAAGCCTTACTCCAAGAAGATTGACGCTTTGAAGATGTCGAGGGGTTATCAACCACCAAAGTTTATGCAGTTCGATGGAAAGGGGAACCCGAAGCAACATGTCGCCCACTTCATTGAAACCTGTAACAATGCTGGAACAGAAGGAGACTACCTCGTCAAGCAGTTCGTGCGCTCGCTGAAAAGTAACGCCTTTGACTGGTACACCGACCTCGAGCCCGAGTCTATCAACAGTTGGGATCAGCTAGAAAAGGAATTCCTCAACCGCTTCTACAGTACGCGCCGCACCGTAAGCATGCTGGAGCTGACCAGTACGAAACAGTGGAAGGAGGAACCCGTCGTCGACTACACCAATAGATGGCGTTCATTAAGTCTGGATTGCAAAGATCGGCTTTCTGAAACCTCTGCCATTGAGATGTGTGTTCAAGGCATGCACTGGGGGTTACATTACATTCTCCAAGGCATAAAACCAAGAACGTTTGAGGAGCTGGCAACGCGTTCCCACGACATGGAGCTGAGTATCGCTAATCACGGAAAGAATGAGCCGATCACCCACTTCAAGAAGGATAAGGTGTTCGCCCCGAGTGTGGACAAGACTGGAAAAAAGCCTGCTAAGGAAACTTTTACTGTCAACACTACCCCCATCAAAACCCCATCCGCGCCTATCAAGACCACCTCTGCGCCTATCAAGATTTCCTCCAAGACCAAGGCAAAGGAGACAAAGAGAAGTGAGCCTCCTCGCACCCAAGACAAGTATAAAAACACCTTGAGAGAGTTGGAGCAAAAGACGTACCCTTTTCCTGACTCAGACGTGGATACGATGTTAGATGACTTGCTGGAAAAGAAGGTAATTGAGTTACCAGAGTGCAAGCGCCCTGAAGAAATGAATCGAACGAACGATCCTAGGTACTGCAAGTACCATCGTATCGTAAGCCATCATGTGGGCAAGTGCTTCGTCCTCAAAGAACTCATTATGAAGCTAGCGCAACAAGGGAGAATCGAGCTAGACCTTGAGGACACAGCCGCAACACATACTACTACGGTGGCATTCGGATCCTTCGATCCCGTGCCTCTCCAAACGACACCCGACCATTCCTATCAATGTGCAAGCTACACGGCGCCTTCTACACAACCATCGCCGGGGGCAAACGAACAAGATGCGTATACCGATGATGATGAAGGATGGACATTGGTGACCTACAAAAAAACAAGGAAACCAAAACCACAAGCCACAAGACCAAAGGTGGAACAGGTGAGAAAACACCGTCGCCACAACAGTAGGAAGCCTAAAAGAAACGTAAAAGTCGATAAGCCAACGTATGTTGGGGAACCTATGGAGCAAGAGCCACGCATTCCTGTCTCCTTGTACGAGTACTTCCCGAATGACTTCTTCCAACAGTGCACTATCGCTGCATGCCATATGGTCGAAGTAGAAATGGAAGAACCTTCAAAAGGCAAAGATATCACCACTGAGGGAGAAAAAACTTTCACGCTCGAAGAAGGTCTGCCAACACACTTTAGCATTGAGGAAGCGTTACGATTACCAAAGAAGATGCGAATAGCATTAGCAGCTGTCTTGGAAAGTCCCAATGAACACGAAGTGCAAGAAAGCAAGAACGAAAGCTTGAAGCCTCGGCCACATGAATGTGCCACATGTTGTGCCATCGAGGACGCAATCCATTTCACCGATGAAGACTTGCTGCTAGGATCCAAGCCTCACAACCGTCCTCTCTTCGTCTCTGGGTATGTAAAGGGGCACAAAGTCAACCGCATGCTTGTGGATGGTGGATCAGCCATAAACATCATGCCAAAGTCGACAATGACTACAATCGGCATCAAGGCGGATGAACTGTCCCTAAGTTGTCTACTAATCCAAGGTTTTAATCAAGGAGGACAAAGAGCGATGGGCATGATCCGATTGGAGATGACTATTGGTGAACTCAAGTCGAGCACGATATTCCACGTGATTGATGCAAGAACTTCCTACGGCTTACTCTTAGGAAGGCCTTGGATCCATGCGAATGGAGTAGTACCGTCCACCCTTCACCAATGCTTAAAATTCTACCGAGAATGAGTGAAGGTGATCTATGGCGACACCAAACCATTCACTGAAGCCGAATCACATTTCGCAGACGCCAAGTTCTACATGGATGAAGACATGGTGCCCGAAGCTCTTCCAAAAGAGATCAAATCCACGGGCAAAGCAACACCTAAAAAGCAGGAGCGACAAGCCATGCCCAAGAAGCAAGAAGAAGAAATTACGCCGTCCTCAAGCAAGAACGATAATGAACTGGCTAAACGTGCAACAACAAAGGGGAGTAGGACGCCCTCAAATGGACCAAACACACCCGTCTTCCGATACATCCCGATGTCGAGAAGAAAGAATGGTCAATCTCCGTTCGAAACTGGAGCAAACAAAGCCGATGCACAGAGGCATATGGATAATGTAAAGTTGCTCAAGACGAATGCAGTTTTACCTCTGACACAGCTAGGCGGCACTAAGGTCGCAAGACTACCACAAGGCTTCATAAAAGCTCTACCAAAGGGGGTGGAACCAAGCTTTCTCCCAACCCAGAGGACCGAAGAAGGTTTTGATCCAAACGCCTATAAACTCATGTCGAAAGCTGGCTACGACTTCGCTTCTTCTTCGAATCATGGAAAGAAGGTTTCAAACACCGTTAACAATAAAGAACGTGACCTCACCGAGACTCAAAAGAAGTTGAAGAAGCACGGTTACGGAGTTGATAACAACAAAGCTGGACTAGGCTTCACACCAAATGCACCCGTGAAGATTTCAAGCAAAGCGAAAAATGCTAGCACTCAACACATCAGCGTGAGTATTGAACAAGATCATGATGAGCCTAAATCTACCCCTTGGACGTCAGTCTTCGATAGGATGAATCGTTCAAGACCCAGAATGTCAGCACTTAACCGCATTGGTGGTCAAAACCGAACCTCAGTCTTCAAGAGACTTAACATGCTAGCATCCCAAAGCTCTGTTTTTGAAAGGTTGTCAAAACCTAAGAAGCAAAGCAACACGACTAGCTCTCTTCCTCGTCAGTCAGCTTTGGAAAGACTTGAAGACAACAAGAAGTTTTCTAGAAATAGGAAGACAACGTCAAAGGAAGAAAAGCTCGACATGATAGCAGAAAAATGTGATATTCGAAGCTCGATTCCTTCAAGGATGAAGCGCCAAGCAATCTCGGAGGTGGACACAAATGGACCACTAAAATTAAGAAGGCGCACCATCATCCACACTGGACAATCTTCATGCCAACCAGCCCAAGAGGACGACACCGAAGAGGAATTCCAAGATGTCTTCCACATCACGATCCAAGAAAGCAAAGACGATGAGATCCCCGAAGAAGATGTCACTGCTGCGCCACCGCAACTTGAGGATGGGGGGCAATCCACGGTCGATGATCTCAAGGAGCTCAACTTAGGCACAAAAGATGAGCAGAAACCTATCTTCGTGAGTGCGCTGCTAAGTGCAGACGAGGTAGATGAGTATTACCAACTGTTATCAGAGTACAAAGACGTCTTTGCTTAGACTTACAAGGAAATGCCCGGCCTTGACCCTGTCATC